TCTCGGAATTCATATAGGACAGCCTAGTATAGAGAGAATTTCTTTCGCGTTAATCAAATGGTATGTATTATTAAAGAATACAGATTCAGTCTGTACGTAGCAAACCCAATATAAACAACGAAACACTTTGCCTCGCAATATTGAATAAATGTTCTTCGGGAGGAAATTAATTTCCGGATGGTGAATTCGCGACAAATAATGTTTGTGAGGATTTGTTTCGGCCGAAAATAAATACTTGTTGGATATTGTATTGTTCACTATACCCACTCATTGTTTGACATAGATATGAAAGGTTATTAGAACCTATTATTTGAAACTCCCTTTCGTGGATACTCCACATAGAATTATTTTAGGATTAGGTACAAATCAGGATTCTTACTGGGAATGTGTGAAAAGTCAAAACTCAATGGGTACCTATTTTTATTCTTGTAGTAGGTATCTAGAAAATATAGTATTATTTTATTAATATTATATAATACTCTCTTATCTGTGTTATCTCTTAATGTGGATGAAAAACTTTGACACAGTTTAATCATAATATACTTGGACAATTCACACAGCGCCACCTAGTCCCAACCTAAGCAGGGCTTGTGTTATGTTTACTAGACTGATAGAAATGTTTATATACATTTTGTTTCCAAATACATATACAATGTACAAAGGAAACTAGACCAGACTAATACAAATAAACATATTCATGAATACAAATGTTTGCACCGTGCGAGGAATCTAACCATCCGAAGTAAGGCGATGGCACTGAGGCCGTCAAGTCGTATATAACATGATTAGGTGATTGAAAATATCTAGTATTATTTTATTAATGTTATACAATATTGTCTTATCTGTGCCTTTAGCATTATCTAACAAAGAAATAAGAATAACATTTATTTCATAAAACTTAACTTAAGTAACATTGTAACTATGACTCCACATTAGGCTATGCCTGTATCGTGGAAATCAAAGCAATTTTGACAGTTAACGTTATATTGGTACGGCGATCATCAGTGTATGTAATAATTTTGCATTTATAAAAGACTTTCTCAGATAAGAGTACTATTAGACAATTATTACCATTTACCATACTAGCGTTTTGTATACTTAATAAATAATATTAATTTTATTTAGCTAAAAATTCTTTTTTTCCTGTAAATTTTAATGTACGACTGTATCTATTTCATGTCTAAAATATCAATTAGTTCAGGAGTATCTTATTAAGAGAATGTATATTTTTGATGTAGGTTCACTAGCAATATTTCGTAATTTTATTCTAGATATTCAAGTTCTAAATTTTTTGTATTTTCTGGATCCTTTAAATATTTATTTATTTAATACCGTTATAAAACTTTGAGAGAATAAAGAGGTAATAGAACAAGTTAAGCCATACCTTACAACATGTTTATTACCAACATGCGGCAGAATATTACCTTCCATTATTATAAAGTTCGTTGTACATAGGAACGAAAGCTATATTCGAGATATAGGAATAGTGAAAATTTACAATATATTTTCATTTAAGTGCATATTTGTTCTGATATAAAATTATACAAGTATTTTAATGTTATATTGTATTATTTTAGATTTGAAGTCACATATGTAAGCCGGTTTGGCAAAATTAAATATCCTAACTAGGAAGGAAAGGAATTGTTAGTGATAGGGACTTTTTTTTTTAAAGGTGATAATGGAATGGTACACCCGCCTGCGCTAACGGTTTACGCTGGCGGGGCACCAGTGGAGGATGATAGGATGAACATGAGGTCAGGTCAGTTGGCCCAACGTGACAAATTCACCGGGAATGTATCACGATGGTTTCCAGGGGGAACCGCGTGGATGTCGATCTGACATGGTTCATTGCTAGCAATGGGAACATTAGTCCATTACTAACAATTCCTTTCCCCCCAGTGATAGGGACTTATATCCCTCATTACTATATAAAATATATACAATATAAAATAGTAGAAACTATCATGGTTATTAATGCATGTATATTATGGGCTAACTAACCCCACTTCGTTAATCCTACCGTCTTCCACTGGTACCGTATCAGCGCAAACTGTTAGAGCGTTATCAGCGTTTAAAAAACTTAACTGGTCCACATTGGGCGCCAGTGTTAAGATTATTTCGCAATTATACACTTTTTAAGGTAAAACAATTGGATAATAATATTTACAATCATAATTTTCAATATACTATTATGAACGAAAAGTACAGGATGCACTACAATCTCTGTATATGTATTAAAAACAGTTTTTGTCGATACAGAAAATATTACAGGATGAATTGAAGAAAACTTATACAAGCGCTGTGATCAACCGACGATAATTTTCGAGTATGTAGCTGTTGTAATATCTCTTTATTATTTATCGGACTATTGTACTATCTCGTTATTACGTTAACTACAATTATGGCTTATTAATGAATGTATTGTTTTAAAAAAGAGGCCATCTCTAACCATAAAATTAAGTTAGATTTCTAGATATACAAGTGAACTAAAATTTTAGTTTGTTATGCTTGTAGATTTTACGCCTGACTTCAGTCTAAGTAGATATACAAAACATTTGTAAATATGTATTTGTAATATATATTATGTAACTACTGTTTTTACAACAGTAATATACATCTATGCATACCGTTACGACTGTTATCCCAGATAGGGTAATCAGAAATATTATCAACTGTCGATTTTGTGACTATCGCAACAATAGCATATTAATTCAACATGGTAGGAGATTGCCTACTGTCGACTCTAGGGTATTTTTTTGTTTTGTTAATGTTTCCTTCACCGGAGTGTCGTCAAAAATATAAATTGACGCCAAAAATATAATTGAATTTTCTTTGATGTCAGCCAGATTTGTATTCCCGACCTCTTGGATTGAAGTTGGGGTAGTAATCAACTAAGCTATGACGCTCTCAACTACATAGTAACAGTATATGTGGTATAATATTATTATCTAATTCAATTGAGATCCATTAGCTTGCGTCTAAAAGTTTTTTAATATCCTACGCTGCATAACATTTACCGTTAGGTTCTACGGCTAGACTTGGATTGGATTGAATACTCAGTCGCAAAAGTTTTATTCTATCATGAACCAAGTCTTTAACTAAAGTAACTATTTAAATTAGTTTTTTTAAATTTTATAGCTATATTTTCTTGAAGAAATAGGTGTAAAATTGTTATGACTGCATATTTGTAAGCATATACGGAAAGATAGCATATATATTTATAATACAATATTAATCTAAAAACTGAAATGGACAGACATCGCTTAGTTCCATTATCATAATATCGTAAGAGTCGACCAAGTGGTATAGAAGATAATAACAAAAGCAAACGTCATTTCAAACTTGCTTAGTAATAATAGCTCGCTGATACTCTCCTTATAAAGAGGTACCTTTGCTCAGCAATGAGTCGTTAATGGGTTAATATATTGAATAATTTATATCAACAAGTGTGTTTAGTACGTATCATGTAGGTAATCGAGGAAAAGAGGGGGAAAGGCGGTTGATTTGGACTGATGACTTCATTGCTTACAGTGTACCATGTTAGTTAGATTTCTACGCGGTTACCCTTGAAAAAACGTCGTGGTAAATTCGTGGTGATTTTTTTACGACGGGCTGATCTGACCTATACTCATCCTATGGTGCCCTGCCAGCATATACCGTATAGCGGAGACGGGTGCACCATTGCATTATCATCCATTAAAAAAAAGTAGGCAAAGATTTCCTTCCATTTGTACGATAATTTTTTTAAATTCGAACCGGTAGTTCCTGAACCAAAGAAATAAACTCTTCATAACATCAGTATAAGTAATAATCACTGTACCACATTTTAGACTAGTTTTACTTTGTTAATTTTTATTAATACATAATTACCTACTTAGAAAATACATGGTTACCTGAACTATGTATTTTCTAAGTAGAAGATTATGTATTTACAACAATATGTAAATATATCATTGTCTAGTATATATACCTATCATGTAAACTCTGCTTTATAGTCAGCGCTACCTGAGAGGTAATATGATGTTATTTAATTTTATTTATTGTAAATAATAATAGAGTATAGATAGAGCGATATTTTCTGGCATATCTTTAGCTTCCACTGATTGTGTAGTATCGTGAGCAAAATAACATTGGAAAACATGAGTCTTCACATTATCGTAAACGCATGCGGTATGAGTTTTTTATTAGTTAATAATATACATAGATTACATGTTCGTTACACATAAACAGAATACGTAATATGTAAAAGTTGTACGGTTGCTAAGATGGCTCGATAATACCTAAGTGTGTAGGTACAATGCAGGTTACTTTAACAATAGGTATTACAAATTATTAAAAAGTTTTAAATTGTTCAAAAGTTTTCAGTCTCGTAAACCTCTCTAAAGCATGCTGGCCTCGAAGATAAGAACAATAGCTAACGCACTTGTTCTTAGTTCACATATTATAAATTCTTATATGGTGCAGGTAGGGCAAATATCTCTCACAATCTCGTTCATTTTTACTTATACCATCATTGTGGCATTATCAGTCTATGACGCTGAGAATTTAAAGGAACTATGTAAATGTTACCTACATTTACATAGTTCCTTTAAATTCACAGGCAAACAAAAGGTCATCATGTTAAAATTTTTTTCACAGTAATTCATCGTAGTGGGTGCAGTCGTTTTGATTGGTTATTGTAAAATAATAAAAAAATGTTAATTATTTTTTTTTTTAAAGAAGTATAAGTATACTGTTTATATTTTTCTGAAAATACGTGATTTTCCCTTTGTACCCTATTTAGATGCGAGAGGCTTATACTCAGAACAATAATGTAAACTTTAGTTTTTGAATTAAGACGACGACATATACTTTATTAGTGTTACCTCTAAGTATTGTTCTCCATCTAAGATCATAAATGACAGTAGCAATGCGATTGACAGGTCGACTGACGGCATGAGTGTTCTGCGCTACGACTGATTCTGATCTGATATTGTATTTTTGTTTTTATTTACTAATACCTCTCAGTTTGCTCTTTTAATATATTATGTTGTTCAAATAGTTACCTCGTTTATAAAAATTGTATTACTTTTTTTGACAAATTTGTGGTTTTATTGTGGAAATTTAAACATACAATTAAAACACACAGCTATGATGGCTGTTATTTCGCCTCGAACATATTGTATACAAGAGGAGTCTTAAAACGTTTTTCTCGGTTTACACATTTTACTAAAATAATAAATACTTAATATGGCTTTGGACGACGAGCAAAATAACAAAATAGTTGATACTGAAGTTCCTGGAAATATTGGTGAAAATGATTGTGAAATAGTTGAGAACACAAATGACACAGTAAATATTGATCTCACAGAACCAAACGAAGCCGAATTAGCATCGAATAATATGGAATCAAGGAAAAGGCGTAAGAGTAAGTATCATTGTTTTTACTAGTTTATTTGGTGTTAAGAAATCGAGTTATCTAGTTTTATTGTTCAGTTTTGGACTGTACAGACCTATACTTTTCTTATTACTTATTATTTAGTATTTTATTTGACAATTCCATACAAAGAAATCACACTTTTTCTTTATTCATAGTCAGTTACAGGGTTTGGTCAATTGTAGTCAAGCTTCGGACACTAGGATCTTATTTTTAATTCAAGGTTACTGGCTGTTTTCATTATGTCAAATTTCTAGAATGAAACAAAATGAAGGGCTCTTTTTTCTATGAAGTTTATTTTCTTTTTATTTATCATTTAAATAATGGTTTTTACTATTAATGTATGTACTTTATATAGTAGAAACCGGTTTAGTTTGGTACTCGATGGTGTTGTGTAAGTTTCTCAGGGTTGTTTATTATAATAAATTAAAATTAGCTATTAACAATAGCCCATAAATTATTTAAAAAACATATTAATTTATACCATATTGTATTCCATTACTTACACTCTATTTTGAGGAGATTAAAAACATTGCTCCTAAGAATATCCTTCAATTCTTGTTGCTGACGGGTCTAGGTGGAGGAACAATAGATCTATGTAGGTCGCAGTGCTACAGGTCTAAGCCCCTCACAATAACCCAAATCTACTATTTAAAAAAAATAACACCAGTTGTCCAGTAGCTAAAACACAAGCTCTGCTTAGCTTGGTACTAGATGGTGCTGTGTGAATTGTCCTGGATTTTTGTCACTATTACTACTATGTACTAATAATGTAATAATAATACTATGTTCAGGTAATGGGAATATATCAAATGCAGACGACATGTCTGAGGCTGGAGAGCCTATATATAAAAGGTAAATTTTTAATATTCATACATTATTAGTATTAAAGGGTACCAAGTTGAAATTAAATGCAGTGAAAGTTTTTTTATGGTAATGAATTATAGTATTTCATCTGATGGTAAGTGTGAACTATGGTTATATATATACATGTATAGTACCAAAGATATATATATATGTATTGTTCTTAGTTAATTTGTATTTTAAACAGTTTGGAATTATAATGTGTAATACATTATAATTCCAAACTGTTTTTAAAAGATTAATTTTTTTTAATTAATTCATAGAGTGTAAAAAGCTGCTAATTACATATATTTTTTAAATTACTTTTTATTTGTGAATTAAGGTATATTGTATACATTATTTTTATGGGTTTTATTTAACTTTTAACAGAGACAAGAATGCCGATGATACCTCATGGAGTCAAGGCAATGTAATAGATCTATATGGGTTGAAATTAGAATATTTGAAACAGTTGAACATCACACCTCCTCTTACTGAATGGGTACATGTTAAGAATGTAAGTGTGTTATTTTCTATGCACAAATGAGACTGTAAAATTAATAATTTAGTATTATCTATATTGTTGATATAATGTTAATAATTGGAATATTCAAAGCTATATGCATGCATCACTAAAATAAATATCTAATAAGTATTTAAAAGAGTAAGTTTCTTGCTCTCATTTTTTTATTTGATGAGACAGCTTTACTAATGAACGGTAGATAAAAAAAAAATAAGTATGGACTATTCAAGTGCTTAAATTTTTGTTTATTTGAATAAAGAATTTTGTATTCTATTCTATAAATATTTAAACCACTGTTTAACAGTGAAAATTTCATTGATATGGGTGAGACTTTAGTTTCCTCATAACTTTGACTTTAAGTCTATATATACTGAGATAAACTTTGCAAAATGGGTCTCCTCTAGGAGGTAGTAGGGGGTACCTCTGTCTACCTATTACAGCCACCAGGCAGCTTGCTTTAAAGCTGTGTTCCAGTTTATAAGGAGTAAAGTTACAGGATAAGAAGCAGGACCACAGAGACAATTTACATATGTTAGTCTGTAAGGTATTTATAAGTTTCATTAGTAGCATGAAATAATAGGGCTGGGCAGTTAAATATTTTTATTGTCAACAGTTCAGATGTGACAAATCGGAATTGAAGGAGGTACTGGAGTTCGCTGGACACGTTATATACTGTACTGTTACGCACGGTAACAACAAATACGCCAGGGTTAGGTATAGTCATCCCTTAGAAGCAGTACAGGTGTGTAGAATAAATATATTATTATTATTTTATTTGGAAAAGAATTGAAGGTTTCATCAATAAATTCACAAATAAATAAGCAAATGATCACTTTCGGCCGGTAAATCTAAGTGTATACAGTTATAAAAATATTAATGTAAAAAGAACTTAACTTTAGAAATAATATAATTTAAAATGATTATATATTTAATATACTTTGATAGACCTTAACATTAAACATTAAATATACATGTATTTTAATTTCTAATCTAGTTTATTTTATGTATTAGGTTTATGGTGTATAGAAATTCTATAAGTTTAAATCTAATTCAGGTCAAATTGCAGAATAGAAATACAGTTTTCATTAAAAGATTATTGTTTCAGGCTATATCATTGTTAAATGCTCAAAAATTTTATGGTCTTCATTTAAATTTAACTATGATTAAATGTCCCCATGATACAGTTATATTACCAAAAGGTCTCAATAATATAGGCACCGGTTTAGGAAATTATGGTAAACCTTTGAGAGACATAGTGAGGGAATATGAAAGGTTTAAGAATGAACAGCCTTCACTAATTAATAAATCTTTATTTATGTTTGTGGAATCAAATGGCGAGCAAAATGGTAATGATAATAAACCAAAGGAGGAGAGTACTGATAATAATGGAGCCGAAGCTGAATCTGAGGCATTTATAAAAGAAAACGCAATTAATAATTTTGTAATTAAGAATGTTGATGAACTAAACAATATTGAAACGGATTATGATAGTGATACATCTGAAATAAAAAGTATCAGTAATAAAACGAAGAATGCTAGTAATTCTATTAGCGAGTCCGATGAAGAGCAAAATGACAAAAGCGAGAATAAAAATAAAGGGCCAGATAAAGCAGATGACACTAAAGTACAAAATTTTGGCAACAATCCATCTAACTCTATGTTACAATTCATGTCTAAGAAAACTGGTGATTCAAATCACTATTCACAGACACAGCAGAATTCCTCTTCTGCAGCTTCACATTACCCCCGGTTTCCCCAAATTGGTCCTACTGGGTCTATATGTAGACCTGCGGGAAATAAGAGTGGGGGTAATTGGCCTATGACTGGACCCATAGGAGCAATGGGAGGCCAACGTAGTTTTATAAGTGGTCCTACGGGCTCAATTAATATTTCCAATAGCCATTTAAGTGGTCCTAACGGTTCCTTGAGTGGTCCAATGGGTGGCTCTAGTGGTCCTCAACATGGTCCATTGGTGGGTTCAATGAGTACTAATATGCGTGGCCTATTGAGTGGTTCAATGGGTGGCCCTATGGGTGGGTCAAGTGGCCCATTGAGTGGTCCTATGGCTGGCCCTAGTGGTCTTGTGGGTGGTCCCATGGGTGGCCCTAATGGTCCCGTAGGTGGTGCAATGGCTGGGTCTAGAGGTGGCCCAATGAGTGGTGGTATGAGTGGTTCCATGGGTGGCCCCATGCCTGGTCCCATGGGTCCTCGTCCTCCCATGGGACCATTAGGTCCAGTGGGTGGTCCAATTGTTCCGAATGGTCCAATAGGAGGCCCTATGTTTGGTCCTAATCGTCCTATGTCTGTTTCAAACTGGTCTATGTCTGGCCCTGGTACACAAGCATCCTCAAGTTCTACAATACGTCTTCAAAATGTAAGTATTGATTATATTTGTCAGCCACTGTGGTCTAGCGCCTTACTTCCGACGTTCGCGGGTTCGATTCCTCGTACACTGCAAACTTGTATTCATGAGTATGACTATTTCTGTCGGTCTGGGTATTTTACGTATATTATGTATATATTTATAATACAAAAAAATGTATTTGATTTCTATCAGTTATCTAGTACCTATGACACAAGCTCAGCGTAGCTTAGCATTAGATGGCGCTGTGTGAATTATCCAGGGTTATTATTATTTTACATTTTAAGTTTGTGGAGTAATTCTCATTACCTCTTAATTTTTTTTTTGTTAATTATTCTCGATACTAATAATATTTATAATGTTACTTTAAATTTTAATAAAATTATATATGTATGTCTGACTGACAGTGTTTATTATCTTTTCTCAATAAAAATATCCAAAAGAACTTATTAAAATTTGACGTCAAGAAAATATATTACTATAAAAACTCGTTCAAGCGGTAAAAATGTCCTAAGTAAATAAATGAATTTTTATTTTAATTTTTTGATCACTTTCTAGCTGCCACTGTCGACTACGTTTGCATTGTTATCTGACAAGCTTGCACAGTGTGGTCAAGTGTTGTCATTACAGTTGGTCTCTCCTGGCTGCGCAGTCGTGAAGTTTAGTCTTTCCAAGCAAGCTGATGTGTGTTTCCGTATCCTTTTGAATTTTTTATGACAAAACTTTGAATTTATTAGCTATCTGCGAGTGAAAGTCTCGCTAAAATCTGTTCAGCCATTTCTGAGATTAGCAAATTTTTTTATGACAAAACTTTGATTTTATTGGCTATCTGCGAGTGAAAGTCTCGCTAAAATCTGTTCAGCTATTTCAGAGATTAGCAAAAACAAACAAAATTATTTATTTTATGTTGAAAATCAGTGTAATGTGAAATTGCAAACAGGCATTTAAATTTAATTTATTTATACATATTTATACAAGAATTTTAATGAAACTTAATTTATAGCTTATTAGTGGTAAGTCGTCCCTATTTAACTCGAGTGGCCCTCCATGTTCCCAGCAAGGATTTAATGAGTTTCCTTAGTAGAATCTTCCAGAACGCTTCAACAGGACCTGTGTGGAGGGGCATGTTATCGAGGCGGTTTATTTGTGAATTGACGGTGAGGAATATATTTTGTTTAGTCTCTACTATTAATTTTTTTTAAAGTTTATTTTAAAATTTACGTCCACTGCACATTCTGGGGACGAACCATGTCACTTGGGAATGTGTCTTGGTGGAGTCCAGATGCGTCTGTCTGTCTTTCTTGGACATGTTACGGACAACCTTGTTAAGGCATTGACCTTGCAAGGCCATGACACGTAGGAGTGAATTATAAAATCTGTGAAAAAAAAAACAATCGGGCAAAGGAGTTATCCAGAAATGAAGTCACATATTAAGGAGGATGTTGGAGACCAAATGTGACATTGTGCTGGAAAAGGTAGGCCCCTACCACTCCTTCTATATCAGAGGAGTGGGAGGGGCCTAAAATTCGTCATACATTTCATCGTTATATATCATACATTCATCGTACATTCCATAATCTATAGTATACCAATAAATAAAATTGAAGTAGCAGTTTATAATTTCAAATTAATAGCTTTTCACAAAATTCATATGTATATCATTCTCATTCATATCAAATAATTCATTTTGACAAATTTTGTCTGTCTGTACTTATTAAACTCTGAAACGACTAGACCGATTTTGACGGAACTTTTACTCGTAGTTAGCTAATGTTATGAGTTACTTGGATACTTTTATTTTAGAAATATTATTTATTTGAATAAAGAAAGAAAGTGTAATTCCACTCAGATAGGAGTAATAAGAGTTGTCAACCCCTAAAATTTTTTGACATCTTTGGACAATTTATTTTAAAATTTTAATGTGGCATTAAAAATACATATGACCCTAAATTTTTATCCATTATTTCTACATTCTACCATCAACCCCTAGTTTTTAAAATTTCAATTTATATAGTAAAACAAACGTTGTATGTACTAGGCCTAGCTCACCGCGCAAAAGTAGTTATATGTAAATATGTTATTTATCTACTCATTTATTATAATTTATACGTTCTTCTTCTATGTCTGTAGGATTTCAAGATTGTCCAGTTAACAGTTTTCTTCAGACCAGCAGGACGTAAGTATTTAAACAAGTATATACAAGATCTAATGTTAAGTATAATTGTATAGTAACTTTAAGTTTTTTTATAATTGTAAATAAAGAATAGAAATAATACTTAAGTTATATTAGTGTTTAAGTGTGTTGAAATAAAAACTAGAATCGATTGTATGAAATACGATTTTAAATGAAACCTTGATTCTAGAAGGAAATACATTCCTTCTTAAAAGACTGACATCTGACCTGTGATTCCAGATGTTGCAGGTGTTCATGGGTATAGTAATCAACTTATGTATACCTATGTAATAACTTATAGGAAGGTCTACTTTGATATTTTCTAATGCAATTCATTACTGTTCTTTTTTTAAGTTAAGCCCTTATTTTCCATAGACTGAAGGCCCATGCCCTTTGTGCGTTTTATTTTTTTTTGTCCATTTTTTTTTAAACTAAAATTGCTAACAATAATTATAGTATAACTTTTTACAGAAAAAAAGAAGTACAAAAAGAACACTTTGCAAAAATGTTAACAAATGACGGCCTTAAACTATGGTCTAGTGGTTTAACATGACGTGGACGTCGCCTTACTTTCAATGGTCGCGGGTTCGATTCCTCGCACGATACAAGTATTTGTAATATATGAGTATGACTGTTTGTATCTGTATTTACAAAAATAAATTAAATAGAATCAGTTGTCTAATACCCATACAAAGGCTCTGCTTGCTGTGAAACTAGATGGCGCTGTGTGAATTGTCCTGGGTTGTCATTATTATTATAGGATAAAGCAATCACATTTTATTTTATATCCAATACAATGTCATTGGATCGGAATTAATTTCCATAATTGACTAATTTTAAATTTGCTGCAAGATGTTGATTTGCCACTGTGATATATACCTATATAAAAGTTTATTGAAATAATATGAATAGTTTAATTTAGTTTTTAATTTATTAATCATATTATTAATGTATTAAATTATGACGATTGTAATTTTTTTAATTGCAATAAGTAATATTAATTTTAAGTGACTATTTTTACTTAATAATCAATTATATAGTTTATAATACTACAAATAACTGTTATTTTGTCAATAAAGTCTGTGACTCTAGAGGGGCTTGGCTACTCTATAGGAAACTACTAACGGTATATCATCCTTCTCCTGCCTCCAGTTGAGGATGATAGGATGAGCATGAAGTCAGGTCAGTGAGGCCACCATAGAGAAATCAACTTCTATTGTTGATTAGCTACTAATTTGAATTTCAAATTAAGAATGCTTAAATTTTATTTAGTTAATTGTATTACATATTTATAGTGCATTAACACTTATATTCTCTTTATAGTACCTATGATCTTGTACATGATCTTTAGAACTATACTTTGTTCCAATAGAACTTACGAAAAAGGTAAACAAAGAGGTCACTAACTCGACCAAAGACAATTTAGTGATGTCCAAAAGTATAGAGATGCAAAAATCAATAATTATTTTTTAATAGTGTAAAATGAATTCGCTTCCACTGTTGTCTGTTTGGTTAGATCTTTTAAACTACGTAACGGATATTAATACAATTTTAGCAATAGATAGAGTGATTGAAGAGGAAGGTTTATATGTATAATACATGTACAATACGTGCGACGCTGAGGCGGTTAACTAGTTTTCATTATTTCCATTAATGTATTAAATGTTTTGTTTTTGATTATACGTCATTACAAATAAGTTAAATATTATAGACATGTCATAATTAAAGTTTGAGAGACGAAATAAATGTTATAGAATGAATACTATTTTAACTTATTGAAACATGAATAATACATCTATTATTTGTTATTGTTACGTATTATTGTTATTTATATTAAATACATTGTGATAATCTATTAACTTAATACAGTGCTTATTCCATATTTTTGACTATAAAATGTCTTATGTAAATTGTAATGTTACCTTTTATGTAAGTTATGTTGGAACGGAGTATACTTAAGTATTTTATTCATACATAATTCTACATTTATAATATTATTCTAAGATTTATAATTGTTACTAGAAACTAGTGTAATTAGATTGTAGTTTAGATATAATCTTGTTTAGTTTTTATTTATAAGAGATATGTAGAGTCACATAGAGTTCGTTCTTCTTGTGATGAGACAGCTTACCGAATGAGCGGTAGATTAAAAAAAATAAGTTTGGCAATTCAGAAATGGTTAAATTGAAGTGCATTTGAATAAAGTATTTTCTCTTCTAAGTTCAAATTCGTTTTCTTTTATGGATGATAATCGAATAGTATATGTTGGTGGGGCAATAGTGGAGGATGATAGGATGAGACAAGCTATAACAGGTAATTGTGGCATATTGACCAGTAATGAACTATGATGGTTTCCAGTCTTTCCAGCGCAGCGTGGAGGTCTGTAATAAATTCAAATAAGTAATTAAGATCATATATCGTAAAAAAGGTACAACCTTTAATTATACCGTTTAATATTTTCTGTGTGTTTTTAAGCAAGTGGCAAATAAACAAATAACAAAAATATATGTTTTATTTTGCCTAGACAGCCTGAAAATTGTCCCTCAAATCCAATTTTAAATAGTAAACGCAAACTTAAAAATATATTCATGGAGGACACTTTAGCCAGTTATTTTATTATATAATAACTTAATTATTTTATTATATATATTTATAGTTTAGTTGTATAAGTATTAAAACCTTCCCTCTTCCATAGAAAATTCCAAGTAAAATCTAGAGTTTTAGCGAGACTAACGAACAGCAATTAATTTATATATATATAGATTTATAGTTTATTTGTATAAGTATTAAGGTTTATATACACAAATACCACAATTACAATTATACAATGATAGCTAAGTACCTACATTAATCTGTTTAATGTACCGGAAGCCATCTAACAATGTATCGACTGTGAAATTCAATTGCCCATACCAACATACGTATACCTACATAGTTATACTAACATAGGTATATACCTACTGAGAATTTCAGTATTATATTCTAATATATACTAGGTATTTAGATAGAAAGATGAATTTTTAATTCAGTAATTACAGATATATAGCCTACACAAGTTACAGAAACATACATGAACAAATAAAATATATAGAGGTGACATTATGTGTCGTAAATGTGTATAGACAACCAACTCTGCATAATGCTATAGATAAATCTGCAGCGTTGATATTCTGTTAGCTCCAACACTATACTACTACTAATACTTATTGTTAATAATATACATGAATATGTATTAAATTTCGAGCTCTTTAATATGTGAAGGCAATTGCATATTATAAATTACTATTTATATAATTTACCGTTGTGGGTACCATTTCTCAATAAAACATTTTTTAAACTGCTAATAAATAAACTAGTTTCGAAAGTCAAAATAATGTATCTGTGCAAGGGATTGTATTATAGGTACAGTCGATGCTAAGATTGATTTTGTAATCTATACCAGTAAATAAAAATGATGTCATTTCTTCACAATAACAAAAAATTGCGGATGTTTATATTCTTTATTCTTCTTTTTTATTTAAAAGAATTTTCGGTTTATTAGCGGCCAGTTACATATTTCAGAATTCCAGTGTGTATCTCGACCGAAATATTCAGTCAATATTTGAACAAGAGATTATGCGTCTGAAGCCTATCAGTCAAGTAAAATATATATTACTATAAATATGTGGAAGATAAATTAACAAACGTGTTTGTTGGACCAGTCGAACATCTGCCGCCGGCAGCAAACTGCATTGGCATGATTGGAAAGCCCTCAACAGACTGCGTACCCAGGTAGGTCGCTGTAGGTACAACAGGTATTGCAGTCTGGGAGGCTGCGTCTCCGGGTCTACGTCCTACGTCTTCCGTCTATGTCCCATCTGACGTTCCCTTTATGTCCAACGTCTTGCAGGAAAGAAAACCTGAACAAGGCATTGTAGTTGCCGAGTTCTGGTCAAAACATACTTAGGTTTTCTGTTGCGGGATAGTAATATGATGTCGGTTGAGACGATGTATATTAGATACAGATAGATAATTGACAAAATGTACATAAAAATATTTATCTTATATACTAAATAAGTTAGGAATATATAAGGTGGGGTGACAGTTGGGGCAGTGTTTAGTAGACAATATTTAATTTGTCTTATTTATGTATATCATAATTGCAAGTGTTACATTGATGTATCTAGGTAACTGTATTAGGATTGATACATTCAAAAGCCCTAATATCGGGCTACTCGGACAAATACTCCAATAGACTATTGCTATTGAGTAAAAACAACATATGCATTATGAGTAGGGCCCTCACAGGAACAACAACAAGGCCTGTGTACAACAAAAATCTGCAGATTCTGCCAAACTGAAGAGGAAGCGGCACTACAAACCTATGTGGTTGTAACCCACTCATGCATAAACGTAATATATTTGGAAATTTTACACTTTATCTTGAGGAGATAAAAACATCGCTTTTAAGAATATCTTTAAATTCTTGTCCTTGACGGGTCTAGGTAGCGAACTCTGAAAAAGGTCTAGCACAATAGATCTATGTAAGTCGCAGTGTCAGGTCCTAGCACGTGACAATAGTCCAAACTCCCCAATAAAAAAAAAAACTATCCCATGTTTATCAAAGAATCGAGAGAGAAACAAACATGGTTAGGCTTAACCACGGATAGCAGGAAAGTACGAGTAAAAATAGCTCCAATAATTATGAAGGTAAACAAATTAAGACTTAATTGCTTTTAATTAGTGATGGGCGTTATTAATTTCCTGAAAGTAGGGTAAACATTTCAATTAAATGTTATTAAATTTTTTAATTTAATATATTTGACGGCCTCGATGGTGTACCGGTTTAGCAGAGCACCTGTGAATGGATCGTTTAGTTTAGGAAAGAAAAAAATCTAATATAAAAGAGGAACAGAAAAAATTGTTTATTGAAAAATTTCTAAATATATTTGACACAAAAAATACGACATTCTCTATTTAAAAAAAATATATACTAAAAAGAAGAACGTGAAACCTCAACAGTATCTTACCTGCAATAGTCGCGAATTCTAGGTCGCGCGCTGCCACGATAAACATTTGTATTCATGAGTATGATTGTTTGTATCGGTCTGTATTTTGTAAATGTATACATTTTATACATTTACAAAAAGTGTATTTAAGTATATCAGTTGTTTAGTATCCATAAGCTCTGCTTAGCGTGGGACTGGATGACGCTATGTAAATTGTCCAAGGTTATATTATTATTTATAGCCATAACTTTATGTATAGAAATTTCTAAGAATTTTAGATTTGAAGAATTAACAAGGGTTATATTTATTGTGTTTAAATAAAGATGCAGAATTTATTACAAATATTTTAAAAATAAATAGTACGTGACATATTACAGTGACTGACAACATTGGAGGG